TATTATGCCAGCCGCAGCTGTAACCAGCTTCCAGAGGAGATCAGATGTGCTCCTACAGTGTTCACATTCAAATCCAGACTCAAAACACATCTGTTTAGCTAGTTTATTTTATTTTTTATTCTAAACTGTTTTAATTATTCTTATTTGTTTTGATTATTTTAATTTCTTCTATGTAAAGCACTTTGAATTACCATTGTGTATGAAATGTGCTATATAAATAAACTTGCCTTGCCTTGCCTTGTGGGTCACACCCAAGATGTTCACTTACAGTTATATTTGCATGTTTGCATTGTTACCTCACATGTCTTTCTTTTTTTGCAGTGAAGGGAACAAGCCTGCATCCCAAATGTGCACACTATCCATCCTAAATAGTGCATAAGAAAATACAGTCTATATTTTTTTAGTACGATAGTTGTTTTTACAGAACATCTCTGCTGTGAATGTTTTTGTTTAAATAATTCCAAGGATATGAAGTAGATTGATTATTTTTTTTATTACATTGCATTTCTACCACTTGAACTACCACTTGAGGTGTAGGAAACAATGGGACATGCCATTATGTACAGTAATAGCACGATTTGATTAAAAATAAGCTAGTTGCGTGTGGTCGTCGAGTAGTAGACATTTGAACAAAGTATTCAAGCCATTAAAAAAACATCTCTTCCACCATGTATTTTTCCTCTTCTGCTGTCGGTGATGCAGGGAGTCTTGTGATTGGTTGTCAAAACAGCCAATCAGAATTTAGCAGCCTCATCTGTGATTGGCTGGAATTATGGTATATTGTAACGCTGGGTTGTGTTGAGCAAGCGAGCCGTCTGCACTTAGAGAGCGCTCAGGGTTGGTATGAGAGGAGCAAGAAAGTGAAACTTTGAACTTGCGAAATAGAACGTCTGCGCACATCCGAATACTTATTTTAAATGCAAAATTGATTTTCATTCGCTCGAAATATTTTCTTATCTGCGAGAATCCGCAAAACTCATTCACGCGTGTGTGAAATGCCCTTTTGCACGCTCAAAATGTGATCTTGCACGCACAGAATTGTGACCGAAATCGAACCCCATACGCTATTAGGCATCTTCCGAAAGAGTACTGAATCTCAGGATCAAAACATGCGAAAAAGAAGCAGAAACCATTGATAGAAGCATTGCTTATATAAAATAACGCGATCAACAAACATTAAACAGCATAAATCAAAACTGTTTAATGTTACTGTTGTAGAGTGAGCTTTTGTGGATTGACCTGTAGGGGGTTCGGCTTAAGAGTAGCAAAGAAGAACCTGTGAGGTATACATGCATTCCACCTGGGCTGTTATCAAGTGTACTGCTGGCTTTTGATGTTCCCTGAGTAAATTACCTTTCTTGAACGGATCTGTCTCCTGCAAGATCATCATTCTGAATCCGATTCAGATGTAGTCTTCTTTGACAAAAACACTATTTTCTTAGCTTTTTGTTAAAAATGTTTGTTTTTATCAAACTTACCAACATTTAAGTATTGATAAAAGAATGCATGAAGCTAGAATAATGTTTTGTTTTTTAAAAGAAGAGGCTCTGTTCTTTCTTTTGATAGTGGATGTTCAGATATACAAAATATTCTGGGGGGCCATAACATTTTTGTAAAAATGTAAAAAAAAAAACAAAAAAAACTCCTGGCAGGGAAATAGTTGAGGACAGGCACCTTGAGGCACTTGACAAGCTCAGTGATAAAAGAGACTTGTGTCTTTTGTAAGCAGAGGTTTTGTACTTGGATTGCAAAGCAGGACCACCTGGAGCGAAGACCAATATCTGATTCGAAACTCAACAGTACCTGAACATTTCATAGGAACCCTGCTGAGGTTAATCTGCACCAAACCCTCAGTGGGGATAGATATCGCTATCTACCAGACCTCACAAAAGAGTGCTGCAGTGATAATGTATTTGTGTAGACCAACCTAGAAGTAATCACCCTGGTTCCCTCTACAAAAACCCAATAAGTTTTTTCTATTGGTTTTTGGATTATTGAAGAAAACAAGCTGTGACAAAGTGCCCTTTTGGTTGCCACTTTGTGGTCCAGTTGGCAGATGGGGCAGTAGATTGCGTCACTGTACATGATAACATTCAGTCTAGGGCCACACACACAGATCATGGTCGTGCACAGGGGCGTTGCTAGACCCATTTTACTGGGGCACGTGCCCCAGTATAAATCTGCTGTGCCCCAGTAAATCTGAAGTTTGAGTTTAACCATTTATTTTATTTGGCAGTGTATATTTAATAGGGCTGTCAGTTAAACGCGTTATTAACGGCGTTAACGCAAAACCATTTTAACGGCGTTAATTTTTTTATCGCGCGATTAACGGGCTTTATGGCCTAGCAAACTTTGTAGTTTTTTTTTTCACATGCTTTTGCAACAGGACGGCATGCACGGCGCTGCGCTATGATGAAACCCATTCATTTCAATGGCTTGCGCCGCGCGAGGACGTTTTAAAAGCGCAAGCGGATCTAGCTAGATCGGAAACAAAACAACAGGCACGCCGCACACACTTGTTTGGGCTTGCGAGCCGGATGCGCGAGCGCGAATCTCTCTGCTCGCGCGCGGAATATAATGTGCCGAGCACGAATCTCTCTGCTCGAGTTGCGCGCTCTCAAGAGACACGCTGCTCTTGTAAGAATTTTCTCTGGGCTCGCTCAGAGAATATGCCTGCACTTAAAACGTGTTCAGTGCAATCGCGAATCTCTCCTCTTCCCCAGCTAACAATTTTAGGTTATAAGAACGTTTTCATAACGTTCCCATTAAGTTATAAAAACGTTATTTCTGAATGTTATAGGAACGTTCAAAACGTCCAGTTTTGAGTGGATGACGAGCGCGAGACGCCGAAATGGATGCCAATAAGATTCTGAATGGAAAGTTTACTTTTAAAAAGTTGCCAAATGGTTCCATTGACAAGACCAAAGTGATCTGTGTTTTGTCGTTGTGAACTGATCTTCATCGCAGCACACACACAGCTGATGCGAATTCTCCGCCCCCTCGTCAATATCAGGACCTCGTCAGTATTTCTTTCACCCTTTTATTGATGGACAGTGTTACATTGTGTGAGAGATTATTTGCTCCAAGTGAGAATGTTTTAGTGTGAAATTGAACAGTATATGCCAATGTTGTTTTCAATAAAAAAACATTTGCACAAAGCAAGCCGATCCACTTTTTCATGTTGATAAGAGCATTAAAATGAGAAAAAATAATGGGACAAAAAGAAATCAAGAGACATTTAGAATAGATAAAAATGTGTGATTAAATGCGATTAATCGCGAGTTAACTATGACATTAATGCGATTAATCGCGATTAAATATTTTAATCGTTTGACAGCACTAATATTTAATATAAATTATATTATAGGGTAATAGAAATGATCTATTTGCAACGCAGTAATAAACCAATCAATGCTTGTTAAAGCAACGCAGTTCAACCGAAACAGAAGCTGACCCACGCGACAGAAATCCGCGCGTGTCTGTGTTTCCTAGCAACAGCAGCGCGCACACATCTGAGCACACCGAAGTCCGGTGTTGGCACGCGAGGTAGGCTATGAAAACATGACGAAACAAAAGTTTATAAATAATACAAATAATCTTAAAAGTAAAATTGAGTCAGAGTCAAGTGATTGACCGTTTTGCCAAAATGAAGCATAGGCGGTATAGCCTACAGTTTTATGCTCAACAAATAAATCAACTTAGTTTGGACTTGGCTGGGGAACTTTGTTTTCTTTTAGAATATACATGCTCTTTATTTTATATAGTATATATTAACTCTTTATTGATTTATTGAAATGATCTAATTGTAAATTCTTGAAAAATGTAAAGGCTAATTATTCATTATTAACATTTTTCTATTTTCATACAGTGTTGCCTTTTATGGCACAAAAAAAAAAAAGAAATTCGTGTAACATGATTTTTAAGCTATTGTTATCCAATTTGTTGGCATTCAAACACCTTAAAATGCACATATGTAGGTCCGAGAAATCCAAATTTTCTCGGGAGAGCATGCCCCCGAACCCCCCTAAGTTACTCTATACCCAGCATGGTGTTTTTGAAACAAACAAATTTAATTTATCTATCGGTAAGCCCCGCCCTCCTTAGTTACGCTTGCTATCTCAGACAAACAATGGGGGGCCTGTGCCCCAGTAGAGCTTAATGTCTAGCAACGCCCCTGGGACTCGTGCATAAATATATAAAAAATAAAAAATTGGGGGGAGAGAGAGAAATGTAGATCATAAATCAGCCCATTACATGTAGGCAAATTAGCTCATTTGAAAGGATGTGAAACCTAAAAGTCAGATTGCGGTTGGCATCACCTTTTACATTACGAATTTACTTTTTAAAAATCACATAAACCAAGTGGTGTGAATTAGTGATAGCCTAATGACGGACATGAATCTTTTTTTACAGTTTAAGACGGGTACACATGATGAACCCATGATCTCATCTTAAAGATGCCGTGGAATTCAGATGACGTAGCCTGTTAATGATTAAGCGAAGTTTAGTTTTACACTAACAGAAGAGCCACGTTGCGGAAAGCGTATTTTTACCTTTTTTTTTTTTTTACTTTTTTTTGTGACAAATTGTCTGACAAATTTGTCTGAATAACTGCATGGTGCCGTTTCTCTCGCTCATATGAATGCTAGTAATTTCAACAAATGATACCAAACATTATAACAGTCTGCACTCTGCATAGATTAATAATACATCGCGACGATAAATATATAAATTCCAAGATCACATCAAGTTTCAGCAAACTTAAACTTTTTGTATCGGTTAATCGTCTAAAATTTATGAAAGATAAAAAATAGCTATATTCATATTATGAAAAATAAGCAGCCTATGAAAGAAACAACGTAGCCTAATATAACAGTGGTTTGTTTCATGCTCTGTGGTCTCACTTCATGAATGGCACTATTGAAAATGAAAACAAAAACTGCAACGTGTACAACTAATCCGCTGAAGGAAAAGCTGCACAGATTGTGTTGAAAACTCACCTCAGACCGTCTGCACAACGAGATCGTTTCATTCAGTCATGGTCTTCCGAGAGACATTGAATCACTCAAGAGTTTCGTCTGACTACATACATAGTTCAGGATCTATTCCGTGACATATGAAGCCATCAGTTTGTAATATCACGTGGACAGCGAAAAGAATTACCAAAATTACCACTGGTCACGTGGCTGCTAATTCCTGGCTGGATCTGAAACCTAAAACACTCTCAGTATTCATATAGGTTAGTTTTCGTAGGTCAGCACAACCTCACAAAGTTTCTACAGATCCTGTGTCCGGGTTGCGAAAATACTACGGGGAGGGTTTGACTTATGAATATTAATTTTGTACGCCCAGTAGCAAGTCGAACTCATTGCCCACAAGCAGACATAATTCACTGTGCTGAAGGTTTGACTCATGAATATTAATAAGACAAATCGACGTTACAGGAAGGCTTCCAAAGCAACGTCAGCGCTGTCTATTTAATAGTCATTTAAACCCTCGCAATAGTAGCCTATATAATTCATACATATTTAATGTATTGTCATCCAGGTCTGAATTAGAAATTAATATGATATAATGCCAACTAGCTAAACTGCTTTGATTTACCTCATTTTGAATTAGGGTAATTAATGTTACATAATGGTTCAAGGGGTCCTAGATGTAGTGGTGTAGCTATCTTAAATTTCATGATATTTCTAATTAATTCATTGTCACATTTCTAAGTTAACTAAATATCTGGTAAGGATTTAGGATTACGTTCTAATGAAAGTTACTACACTGTAAAAAAATAAATATGATCAATAAGTTATGACAACATTGTGTTGTCATGTTGCTGTAACTCATCAAAATAAGTTAAGCAACTTTTAACTTTTTTTCATAAGTTATACAAGATTCATTTAAGTTGTTTAAGTCAGTTTAATGCAATTTAAGTTGAAATGACTTAAGTTAATTGAAATGTAAGGCAATAGCGGGAGAATCTGGAAATGTTGAAAACATATGTTTTAACAATACATCTGTGTTTCCTTTAACTGACCAATCAACAATCCTCTGATAAGTGAGGCCTTGTCAGAAGATTGACAAAATCAATCATACCTTATATCAACAAGCCAAAACAAAGTTTGTGAAAGTTAGGGATGGGGGGTGGGACTACTCACGTGCAGCTCAAGAAAAAGATTAGAATAAATCAATCCATCAGTGTCAGTATCAGCAGACTGTACTATTACATAATTTACCAAGACCTTGACTCCCTCGATTAATTTACAAAAATCCAGCAACTTCTTCATCAGAGAAATCAGATGGCGAATATTATCACTCATTATGGGACAAAAATGTAAGAAGTTAGCATCTGGCACAGTCTTGCTACTAAAGGATTGTATATTGAGATCTGCTGTGTTTGTTCTTATCAGTGAGGCAACATTGTAACTCTAATTTTATTTAGCTGTGACTGGGTTCATGTTACGTCAGAATTCACTCAGTAGCACTTTATGAGGACCATAAAGGATTAGTGATATATAGAGCAAATGTACTTTGGTTTTACTGTAAACTACTTAGCAGTACATACACAATATGCAGGTCTTTGATGATTACACAGTATTAGTAAACAGTCAGGGCAGTTAATCAAGTCTTACTTTCAGAACTAATTTGATTAATCAGAAAGATCTGATTAACCAACAATCATTAGCCTACACTGAAATGAGGCTGACAATACACAAACTATCAAAACGTTGCTATGATTTATTTTGCATTTATAGTAGTACTATTTTTTGTAAAGGATTCATTGTTGAAATGTGTCTGGACAGGATTATTTTCATGATTTTATTCTTTTGATTTTGTGTGAAATATGACCCAGATGAGAATCACCTTTGAGCCACAGCATGATTACTAAAGTTTTTAACATTTCCTTGACAGATTTGCTGATCACCACAATATACGTAAATGAAACCCTGTGGGTCCGAGCATAAGTGTAAGTACTCTGCTGATGTGAGGCCACGGGTTTTAATCCATACAGCCTTTAAATTCCACATATACTCGTGGAAATGCAGCCACACACCCCTTGAAGAATCAAAGAGCACTGTGTGTGTGTTCCTATAGAACACAGGGAGGGGTTTGATGCAGTGCATTGGTGTGTAATCTTTCCATTCCTCAACATTCCTGTGGCAATAATTGCGCAATGTTTTAATCAGAATATCATTCTCAAATAATTTTACACAAAAGTACTAATATAGGCTATACAGGTCCTTCTCAAAAAATTAGCATATTGTGATAAAGTTCATTATTTTCCATAATGTAATGATAAAAATTAAACTTTCATATATTTTAGATTCATTGCACACCAACTGAAATATTTCAGGTCTTTTATTGTTTTAATACTGATGATTTTGGCATACAGCTCATGAAAACCCCAAATTCTCAAAATCTCAAAAAATTAGCATATTATGAAAAGGTTCTCTAAACGAGCTATTAACCTAATCATCTGAATCAACTAATTAACTCTAAACAACTGCAAACGATTCCTGAGGCTTTTAAAAACTCCCAGCCTGTTTCATTACTCAAAACCGCAATCATGGGTAAGAATGCCGACCTGACTGCTGTCCAGAAGGCCATCATTGACACCCTCAAGCAAGAGGGTAAGACACAGAAAGAAATTTCTGAACAAATAGGCTGTTCCCAGAGTGCTGTATCAAGGCACCTCAGTGGGAAGTCTGTGGAAAGGAAAAAGTGTGGCAAAAAACGCTGCACAACGAGAAGAGGTGACCGGACCCTGAGGAAGATTGTGGAGAAGGACCGATTCCAGACCTTGGGGGACCTGCGGAAGCAGTGGACTGAGTCTGGAGTAGAAACATCCAGAGCCACCGTGCACAGGCGTGTGCAGGAAATGGGCTACAGGTGCCGCATTCCCCAGGTCAAGCCACTTTTGAACCAGAAACAGCGGCAGAAGCGCCTGACCTGGGCTACAGAGAAGCAGCACTGGACTGTTGCTCAGTTTTGCATGTCATTTGGAAATTAAGGTGCCAGAGTCTGGAGGAAGACTGGGGAGAAGGAAATGCCAAAATGCCTGAAGTCCAGTGTCAAGTACCCACAGTCAGTGATGATCTGGGGTGCCATGTCAGCTGCTGGTGTTGGTGCACTGTGTTTTATCAAGGGCAGGGTCAATGCAGCTAGCTATCAGGAGATTTTGGAGCACTTCATGCTTCCATCTGCTGAAAAGCTTTATGGAGATTTCATTTTTTCAGCACGACCTGGCACCTGCTCACAGTGCCAAAACCACTGGTAAATGGTTTACTGACCATGGTATTACTGTGCTCAATTGGCTTGCCAACTCTCCTGACCTGAACCCCATAGAGAATCTGTGGGATTTTGTGAAGAGAAAGTTGAGAGACGCAAGACCCAACACTCTGGATGAGCTTAAGGCCGCTATCGAAGCATCCTGGGCCTCCATAACACCTCAGCAGTGCCACAGGCTGATTGCCTCCATGCCACGCCGCATTGAAGCAGTCATTTCTGCAAAAGGATTCCCGACCAAGTATTGACTATTGAGTGCATAACTGAACATAATTATTTGAAGGTTGACTTTATTTTTTTTGTATTAAAAACACTTCTTTTATTGGTCGGATGAAATATGCTAATTTTTTGAGACAGGAATTTTGGGTTTTCATGAGCTGTATGCCAAAATCATCAGTATTAAAACAATAAAAGACCTGAAATATTTCAGTTGGTGTGCAATGAATCTAAAATACATGAAAGTTTAATTTTTATCATTACATTATGGAAAATAATGAACTATCACAATATGCTAATTTTTTGAGAAGGACCTGTATATAGTTCAATGTGGACTGGTTGAAATTGATAACTTTGGTGTGTTCTACCAGGAAGACTCTGATTGCCATGCATTTCAAATCCCTCATCTTTTAATCCCTCATTCACTATTCCCTACTTTAGTCCACTAATACTGTTCACTTGAAGGAGTTAATGAAAAGAAGTGAGCGAATTTGGACAGCCGTTGAGCGTACATCAGTTGTACACTCGCTATGTGGGATTGAATAAGTGCACTCAATAACGTCCACTATGGTTTCAGACACCACTACAAATGTCTGCCCCCTCAAATATTGCTCTATTTGAGGGTATAGGGGCGATTTTGGATTCAGCCTAGGTCTGTCCATCCAGGGGTAGGCTCCGTTCCTGCCTTCATCTTCAGGCAGGATCAGCCGAATCTGTTTCCCAGGATTTGGACTAAGGACAGGGCCTACGCCAAATAACTTTTCTATACAACTATAGACACGCCACAGTGTATTGCTCTATGAATGATACTATTGAAAACATGATTGCAATGTGTACAACCGAGTCATCAAATCTACTGAAGGATAAAACCTGCATATAGATTTACAGTATTAAAAACACACCTCTAAATGTTAGATGCTACTGAAATCATACAATTGCACGCATGCACACATCTGGAAGACATTTTTATCCAACTTCTCGTGCACTCAAACTAAGCCTATATTGACATTGTACCCATGACCTTGGTTTTACTAACACCCTTACAGGAACTGCAGCCAAGCTACAGGAACTGTCAACAAACCATACATGTGGTGACGTTACAAAAGACTTGCATGACAAACATGCCAAAGCTTCAGGAACACATAGTACTGTACATACAACAGCTCTTCAATGGACAATATTACAACATTCAAGATAAACAGAGAGCATGTCATTGTTGTGGCAAATAAACAATAAAAAAATCTGAATGAGAGACAAATATACTAATTGTCTTTGATGAAGTTTATGTTCTTGCAAGAAAAGGTCAGCAGCCTAGACAGTGAGGGGAGGGCATCCTTCCTCTTTTATAGTCTTGACTCTCAGAATGTTATCTCTTTAGACCAATGATGGTATTTTCAACCATATGTGGAACATTCTTAGTCTTATTCATCATATTTTATCCTTGACAGCAGGCCCTCCTGTCACGTACCAACACCCTTTTAACATTCCAAAACAATTCCATATTAGAATGAGTTTTATGACTGCTCTTTTACTGTCAGATGATGGTCACAAGTATCATACAGTTTCTTCGACATCATAAGAACACATGAGGATTCAGAGACAACAATAGCCCACGTCATGTTAA